AATTTTTGCATTCTTTTAAATATACCACAATCAGAATACTTTAATAATCAATAAGGTAACTATGTATGTAAAATAATGAACCAGCTAGCGATTGTCAAATGGACATCAATATTCTGCATTCAAAATGCAATAAAACTAAATTTTCTACATCAACTATCGTCCCAAAGTTGAGCATTTTTAATGCCTAAAAAGAACCAGATTCAGTCGTCTCAAACAAGCCTGGAAAGGGAATGTTCAAATTATATGAGGTGTGTGTATGTGCAATTACGTACAGCTTTCAGACCACTCTAAATGACAACTGATCTATTTTTTTCTACTCTTGGCTCTAAATGATGTCACTAAGAGAGGATTTCCCTAATATGGTCGTCTCGCACAGCTCTTTTTGGAAATCCACAAAAGTTGATTCTGTTCAGTTATGCTAGTTTAAGTCATTATGCAAATGTACACTTTATAAGATTGGGGAAACCTGCAGTCAGCTGAGACCGAAGAAGTCACCTGGATGAGTGACAAAAAGTTTCTCCCACTGAAAACGTTGCGTCCAGATGAACAGAATCAGCTTTTGGGGATTTTCTTCCCTGGATGATTGAGCATCCATCAAGTGTGTTTTTCACCAGAGATTTTTCTTCACGTTTCGCTTCACGAATCTTCACCTTCTGGTTGTCCTGACAATTTGACTGCCTGAAGTAAGTCCTACTATTATCCCAGAGGACCAAAGGAGGAAATGCCGGGGTTTCAGTGCTGGAACTGTCCCACTGATTATCATGGGGAATGTGAGGCGCTTAGTCAGTGATATGGACGAGCTCGGTGAGCTGATTAAGACTCAGAGGGAACACCGTTAGTGGAGTTTGATGTGCTCCTTGCAGACGTTGTCATGGCAGCAACCAGAAATGTGGAAGGATTGTGATTGAAAAGTAGTCTCCTCTCGAGCACGCTGCTGCGAAGGAGCGTTTCAGTGGCGTGAATATTAAAGCGCATGCTGAATGCATTAACATGCCTGAGAGAGTTCGTCATATCATTGAATTCAGTTTGAATCCCCGCACTTGGGATGTCTTCCTCAACTGACGAAGGTCCTCCAAATGACCGTGGCTGTGTGTGGTAAATGGCTATGGATAATTAATGGACCCAGACCATCCTCTGCACCACTCAGCGGACATGCAGCCGAACTCCTTTTTCTCACTCTTTTATCTCCTCAGAAACATGGACACATACAGAAAGTCTTTACCACCTCATAACACATTCCTTTTACGTTTAAGCTGCTCATTGTATGATATAAGATTTTTACATTTTTATAATTTTACTTTTATTGTAAGGTGTTTTTATTGTTTTCGCTCTTGCAGTGGTGAATTTTGACATAAATAAAGCATTTCTTTTTATTAGATGTTGGTGAAGAAGATCGTCGGTTGTGTTTCACGTATTTGACACGTTGCTAGCTGTTGTAGTTTGTTCTCCATTGTAAAATGATGTTAGACTGATCCTGTATGTAACTGGTTTTGATGTTTACGTGTGTGTGTGTGTGTGTGTGTGTGTGTGTGTGTGTGTGTGTGTGTGTGTGTGTGTGTGTGTGTGTTTCAGGCCCGACCCCATGGTTCCTCCGTTTGCAGCTGGAGGAGCAGATCTGGATCCCTTTGGGTGAGTCTGTCTCTTCCTGTCATGTTTAAATCCTTTAAATCTGTTTATGGAATTCAATCTCAGACATGCATTTAAGCATTCTCCTGGGTTTTCCCTAATCTGGGATTTGAGGATGAACAGTCGGCCCTCACAGCAGCGGACAGCTCTGGATTACTGGCGCGTGTCCAGCTGAAAGCGAAGCTTTAAGCTCAGATGTCAGAGAGTCGCAGAAAAGATGACAAACAAAAGCAGCTGCAGACTCAGAATCTAAGTTTAGTTTTAACATTAATTTTTTATCAGCTCGAGCTTTTCTATTGTGCTAACACAAGCTTTGTATTGAAGTACCTTCCACCAGGACACTTTTTAAATCACTGAAGGTTAATCTCATCTCCTTGTTTCCCCATATGTAGCTTTAAGTATCAGCTTGTCAAAATACCTCACTGTAATGTGGAAGTAAAGCAAATTAATCAAACCCAAGTTTTTGTTGAAAGCTGCCCTTTAATAACTGATTGATATTTTTACCCCAGGAGTATGCAGGCATTACTCTTCTACAATTAGTCCAGGTAGTGGCACCAGTATAAATTTCATAAAGAGAGCTATTGCTTGGCATACAGGGTTCAAAATCAAACATATTTTAGTCAGAAAAAGATATTAACATTTAAAAGATCTCTACAAGTCGCACTATATATGATTCAGGGACTCTTCGCTTCTATGTAAACATGAAAACCTGGTTAAAACACACCTGTGGTCATAGGTGCTCAATGCTTGTCTTGCTTTGTTGCGCTTTCGTCACGTTTGTAATGTTGGTATGTTTGTGCTTTATGGTTTTTAGAGACTAAATTTAGCCCGTGCAGAAGGCGGCTGATGGCACATTGTTTTTTACAGTATAGATGTTATAAAAGATGGACATAGTTACTGTGACATCACCCACTCTTAAAACCTCGCCCTAATTATTTTTGCTGTCAGCACTTGGTGTTGTGTAACCAGATGAGACTAGCAAGGTTAATGAGAGTAACAGACAAATCTGAAGGTAATGGGCGAACACTGGACAGTCCTCTTATTTTTCTTTAAAAGTGACCATAATTTACAAAATGATCTCCCTGTTTTATTCAGTATGACCTGAAACAGGCGACTCAGCCCATGAAATCTCCAGGAAAGTGTTTAATGAGGTCTCAGAGAGTGCCGTTTTCCCACAGACTTCTTTATAACCACCAGGAGTCGTCTCCTTCTGGCCATTAGAAATAAAGTTTTCTTAAGACACTTTAACATCAACTTCCCTTTTCAGACTCGAACGAAGCAAACATCTCCAAACTGAGTCGCAGCTATTATGTAACTAGTTTTCTTACAGTTTTTAATAATTGCTAAACTCAACCCCACCTTAAGATTTTTCTGGTTCACTTACAAGGTGAGCTTTTGGCCGAGCCCTGCAGAAGAGCCAATAAGGCCCATGAGAGGTTTTTAATGGCAGCCAAGTGATCCAGTATGACCCACAGCACATGTACACAATGTAAAAAGGGCAGAGGGCATCCATTTGTATATGTTTTTGGGTTGTGTTGCAAGATGTTATTCCCCCCTAACCTGTGCATCAAGTACACTGATAAAGTGGGCGTGTTTAAAAACCAACTCAAGGTGGACTTTATTTGTTGTGTTTAGTGTGTATTAGCGTTTTGTTCTTTGATTTGATTTCTGTACTGGGGAGCTCTTTACGACGTCTGTTTTTGAAACAGTCTTGTTTGGATGTCGAGCGTGGTGTAAGCTGGATAATACTTTTGAAACCGCCGCTCCGCGGTGGGTGGTTTTTAGCTCCGTCGTCATCCATTACAATCATGAAAGTACAACTTGTTTAGGATTTTTTTTTATGTTTTAATAACATTAATGTTACTTAACTAGTGATTTATTTTTAAACACTTTCAGATAAAACCTGTAGCCTGTTTATCTTTGACAAAGTCAACAAAACCAGCTGACACGTGTCCTTCTCTTGAATCTCTGAACTCCGCCTCCCCTCCTCAGGTCTCGCGGCGGTGGTGGGATGATAGTCGACCCCTTGAGGTCAGGTTATCCTCGCTCTGGCTTTGACCCGTCTAGTGGGATACCAGACATTCTGCCTCCTGGAGCCGTTCCCCCAGGAGCTCGCTTCGATCCGTTTGGACCCGTCGGACGTCACAGACCAGGGTGAGACACACACACACACACACACACACACACACGCCTCCATCTGTCTGCACTAATTCAGGCTGTAACAGCTCCTCAGCTGTGAGGCTCCACTGAACCTCTCAAAGGGTCAAAGACACTTTGAATTTCGACATAAAATAAATTCTCAAAAAAAAAAGATCTTATCTTTCAACTTGATCAAAAATCCAAATCCAAGAGCAGCGTTAAATCAGTCAGTGGTCTTATTAAAGTTTTTTTTTTTTTACTTCTCAGCTGCAGCTTCACCAGATTTAATTCAGCAGAAATGAAACACAACAAAGCTGCACCCATTTTAATCTCAGTAATACCAGATGGCCTCTCCATTTTAGCAATTTAAAGAGTTTTGAGGAGCCACCTTACATAATGGAGGCAGCTCTTGACTCTGTGTCAATCCAAATAAAGGCTTATAATGGTTACAACATCTTAGATTTGTATGATTTACTCCACTGAAAGATACATTCTTCACAGAACAAATAAAATTGAAAGCAGCTTTGAAGCAAATTAAATACAACAGTTGTGTATTTTCTTATGTATTACAGAAACATTTGGTGCCATTTTCAAGATTCATTGTAAAATAAAACTTTGCATAGTTGCCTTAAAGTTGTTGTTTTTGATATAAACGTGAAGATAATGACAGGAAAAAAAGTATATTAGTCACCTTCCAGCCTCATTTATAGACACAGATTTTAGTGACTCTATAGCTAAATAGACTAATAAACCCGATTTAATAAACAAGTAAAGGTTGCCTGTTGTCCTGGAAAAAAAACCCGTCTTAGTTCTGTAGTAAGATTGTGTGTTTAAAGTTCCAGTCGCTCGGTGTCAGTCCAACAGCCGTGACCGTCCAGCTCAAGTTCCTGCTGGAGAGGCAGAGGAGTCCCCAGCAGCATTTTCAGCAAATGCAATGAAGCAAAGCAAAATCGCCTGCTTGGCATTTATCTAGCTCCAAACTGATATAGATGAAACTCACAAATGAGACAACCATAAGGAAAATAATTAGATGAAGGATGCCTCTGTTTGCAGCCTTAAGTGCTGTGAGTGTGCAGAAATGCATACATAGTTTTTCAATCTGCTTCTGTTATGAAGCTTTTCAGCCCAAAATAAAGGACAGAAAGCACTAAAGAGGGTTTAATTGTTAGAGTCTCTGCTTTGTGTTGTGAACAACTGAAATCAGTGCAACAAGAACTTTTGTGCTTTCCAGGTTGACTGTGCATTATCTTGAATTATAAAGGAGACATACCGAAAACTTTTCCAAATAAAATAGCAAAAATCAGTCCAACAGCAGGCAGTGGACTCCACTAATCATTGGCAGGCGGTGTATTTGCTCCATTACCTCCATTTTTATTCAGCTGAGCACTTGGTTACTCCTCATTCACCAAATCACACACACATTCATACAGCACTTTTATCTATGTCCAATCTGTGCACTCACACTCGATCCTTGCCCAAGTAGACTTAAGACGTGTGCACAGCAGGAGTCGGGGATCGAACCACCCACCTTCCACTGGCTACAGTAACAACAGCTCTGTGTGTTTCTCTTGTTTTTGTTTTTTAGGCCGGATCCAGACCACATGCCCCCTCCTGGCTACGATGACATGTTCATGTAGTACCCTGGATTGTTTCCCGATTTTCTACTTCCTGTTTGCTATTTACATCAGCATCTTTTCCTCCAGCCGATAGCAGCCGCCTTCTCCTCTCTGAGGGTTTGGTTTCATCCGTGTTTGTGGCCTGAAGATTTTCATTTTTCTCTTTTTGAGAAGGAGGGTTCGTTTTCTGATTGCTCATTTCATATGAATTAAATCTTTAGGATGCAAACTGACATAACAAAAACCCAGTTACTGCTGTCTCAAATATCCGTGACTTTGAAATGAAAAAGTTGCTCCAATGTAAAAGAGCCCCTAAAAGAACAATGCCATACAGATGAAGGTTTATGCCATTGCACATAATAAACTCATATTTTGTCTTTTATACTGACATCTGAACATTGCTGAGCAGTATTATTTTGTGAAGTAATGAGGTGACATTTGGCTGCAGGGCGAGATCTGCGAGTCTGGAGATTACTGCATAAATGAAAAATCTCACCTTTGATCAACAGAACCACCGAGATGCTTAAATCTAAAAACACGTACGAGTGAAAACCCCTCTCTCTGCCCTTTGCTTCCTAAATAATAGATCCCATCAAACTCCATCTACCAGTTTATTAATAAAAGAGTGCTTCTTCTTTTTCATTTTTGATGTGAAAATATTAA